CCAGCAAAATGCACAGATTTGCATTGCAGCGCACCTCAGCCAGGAGGTGCATTAGAGTGCCATTGAAATAAATGGCGATGTTACACACGAGGCACAGTAACACACACTAGCAGGGTTATTCACAAAAGGGTGAAGAGTTTGGAGAAGACAGGAGAAGTGAACAATCTAGGCCAAAATAGCTGATTTGGAAAAATTCTCCAATTCAGCTCACTTTCCAGTTCAGCTATGTTGTCCTAGATAGTTCACTTCTCCTGCCTTCGTCCAAACCCTTCACCTTTTTGCGAATAACCCTGTAGGTGTGTTAATTGCAATGTAATGTACGATTACCACTACGCTTAGGTGTGAATGGGCCCTAAGTCATATAAAATGATTATCTTCTATTAGTCCATCAGATAACCATTGACGCCCTGATATGTTGGCATGATGTCACTGTGGTACAAAATACCAGGAGGCGGACTTTAGGCATTGCTCCCTGAGAAATATAGGCAATTATGTATCACCTAAAAAGAGCTTATCTGGCTCTGGAAGTTTTTATGCAGAGTTAGTTTGGTGTGACCAACACAGATCACAGACTTAGGCCAGGATAGGGAGCAGGCACACCACATTTAGCTGCTGCTTATATCTTTATATAATCAAAAAAACAATTAAAACCGTGTTTATAAAGGAACTAAGCCCAGTGGATTGAGAGGCTAATGAAAGGATACAATCCAAAACGCATCCCTAGCAAACATTCCAAGGCTACTGAACATGTGGCTGAAGGAGTGAGCCGAGAGACCAGTGGCAAGTGAAAGGACTAGCAGGAGCTGAGAAAACCACAGGAGCCCTGAACGTGGGTGCCTGCTCCCTATCCAGCTATAAGTCTGTGTTCTGCGCTGGCCAAACTGAACAAATTTTGCATAAACAATTCCGGAGCCAGATAAGCCATTTTTATTATACTTATGTGAGCACATTACCACTTTTTAACTTGTTTATTAAAAAAATGTTGTACTACACTAAGCCAGTGTGTGGTGATGTCCTCTTTATGTGTTTTTGTGAAGGCTCCTTTAGGACCATTTGCAGCAAGTCACACTATGGACGGCAAGTAACAAAACAGCACTGGGCTTATATTCCTCTTTATCACTGTTTTAATAGTTATTACTGTTACATAGTTACATAGTATTTGAGGTTGAATAAAGACATTAGTTTACAATTAGCAATACATTTGGATTTTTATTGCTTATATGCGTTGTACTAGAGCGCCACTTTGTCAGGTCCTGCATCGTCACTGAGCATTGACTAGTTAGAACAATGGTTCCATGTTTGTGTTTATAATGATAAGAACCTAACTCCTCTTGGTGAATACTTTTTAAATCAGACCTGTCGTGTTCAGTAAACCTAAAGTAAGGTCATAGTTGCAGAGGAGGTACCTTCCAATGCCAAATCTTACCTCTAGATTCCCTAGGTGCTTCCCCACCTACCCAGTCTACCACTGCATCTCTTACAGGATCTGGTGCTAATACTTCTGAAAGATGGTATCTGCATACTGTTACACAAGCACCCTACCTCCTGTATGACTGCAATTGGGTTGCTTAAACACCTAACAATCCATTGGAGGAGACTGGGCGGATATGTTTTAGATGTGTACCACCTACTCAGAAGCACTGACATTTTTGGACGGCTGGAGCGGCATATCATTAAGTCAGTGAAGAAATCGAAGACCTAATTTATTCTTTCTCACTGTTTGCCTGCTGTGAGACTCATGAATATTCTTGCCTTTTGAATAGAAATCCCATTCTTTCCTTGTGGCTGGTTCAGGCACAGCTATTTACTTGACTATTAGGGTCTATTCACACCTGTGTGTGTGTGTGTGTGTGTGTGTGTGTGTGTGTGTGTGTTACCATGCAGGCTAAAATGTGCACACATACAGTAGGTGTGTAAAGCAGGCTCAACGGCGAGTGCCTCCTATGTAACTATGGGCCTAGTTGTCTGTGAAAGTTCTTATTCATCCAGGTCCCAGTATATCTATAAAAATAAATGAAGGCAACTCGACTTGCTGTATTTTTCTTGAAGACGTTTCTCTGGTCATCCACTCTGAATGCAAGTGTCCAGTTGCCTTGACTTATTTTTTTACAGATATATGGGCTCAGTTGACTTTTGTTGCTGATAATCCTTTGATGGCTCAGGACACTAACACATGAGTAATTCTACAAAAATCTATCAGAAATTAACCCCTTCGTGACTGACGACGTACAGTGTACGTCGCCAGCATCGGGGCTGTTTAAACAGACTCCCGGCAGCATTAGTCGGCTTTACAACAAAAGCGATTCTAGCGACTTACCTGTCACCAGATCGCTTCTGTGTCCCGTAGAAGGGGCCGCACCCCCCCGCCGGACACCGCCGCCGTGCTTCCCAGGCTCCGTTGCCCCTCCTACAGGCCCGGGACCGGCTTCGTTGGTGTCCGCGGGGAGCTGGGGAGGAGGTCGATGAACTTCCGTTCATCGATCCCCTCCCTGTTCTATGGGACCGGGAGCAATGCAGATTGCATCACTTCCAGTCCCTGAGCTGTCAGCTCTGGGCTCCTGCAGCCCAGCTATAAGCTATTGAAGTGCGATCTGCACTTCAATAGCTTATTTTCAGTGTAAAGGTGACACTGGAGGTCTTTTGGACCCCCAGCATCACCTTAAAGAGTACCTGTCACCACCATCTGCTATCACATGGGGGGGCTTGTCAGCCCCCCTATGTGATAGCAGTCAAAGTAAAGTTAAAAAAAGATCTTTACTCGTCTATGCCAGTTGCTCTCCATACTCTCCCTGGTATTGGCTAGAAATATAGCCGATTTAAAGCATTTCTAGTTAAAATGAGGTATTGTGGAACTTATACAGGAAACTTGAGGAATCCATGTTGACTTTAAGGTGACGCTAAACTCAGGAGTTAAATCTTAAAAATGCATTCAAGTACCTTAACTAATAACAATACTGGGCTTTATTTGTGTATCACTCGGCTGTAGATCCTCAAATCATCTCTGAATTGGTGCTGACACTGTCCTTCCTTCTGGAGGGTGGCTACTTTTGTTCCCCAAGCTCACTCCCATGAGCTTGGGGAACAAAATCTCAATACAAACTAGTATACTAAACGTGGGATTGTAGTCCATCACAGAAGTGATCTTGGAGTGGTGGCTACTTTACAACACACACAGGGACCATGGGGAACAAAAGTAGCCATCATCCAGAAGGAAGGACAGTGTCAGCACCAATTCAGAGATGATGTGAGGATCTACAGCCGAGTGATATACAAATAAGATACATTATTGATAATAGCTAAGGGACTTGAATGGATTTGTAAGATTTAACTGCTGAGTTTAGTGATAGTTTAAGGTACAGGCTTTTCACTTGGTTGAGCTATCATCTGTAGCCAGCTGAAATATTTTCGTATGAGCATTTGTGCGCAAATGTACCAGTGTATGGCCAGCTTAAGTGATTGGATTGTTATGGACCCTTGTCCAAATGTTCTGGATTTCACTTGGACAAACCAGTGATGGAGGAGTCTTTGAGAGCCCATAACCTCCCCATAGGCATAAATATTATTGCTTGGCTGAGTCTTTGTATTTATGTGACAGTTGTGTGGTGTTACAGTAGAAAGGCATCATGGCACACTCGCAAAACCAGCATGTAAAACAACATGTCTCACCACTAAGGACAATGACAGAGGTTTGGATACACGTCTTCTGCCGAGGATGTGTAAGCCGCACTGCCGCGCCAAGGCACCTCTTATAGTGCGGTCCTAACTCTAAACTATGAGAGTCTCCATCTTGGAGCACATGGGGGCAGAAGATATCAAATTGGGTGCAGGTTTGTCAGGAGGACGCCCAACCTCCTTAAAGGTACAGAAACACACAAGGGATCCCGCACATCCTATTGGCAGCTGAGAAACCCCATGCGTCGCTGCACCAAATCGGTCAAACAAAACAAACGACAAACGCACTCAACAATTTGTCACCAGCTATACAGTAAGGTGCACCGCTCCTGTGGCTTCGAGACAAGCTGGGGCCCCATCAGCGATGCTGCTCGTCTGATGTCGTACTGGCCGGAAGTGACGTCACTTCTAGCCTGTCCGGCGGCAGACGAGGCCACATGTGCAGGTAAGAGGAGCTAGGAGGGAGGGGAGGGATGCAGCCCTGACCAGCCCACCTGAGACCCCTTCAGAGCCCACCATAGACAGTCTCAGATGGGCTGTGCAGCATCTATGGTGGGCTCTGCAGGGTCACTCTCAGGTGGGTCCTGTGTCCAGCGTGTCAATAAGTCTGTGTCCATGGGGGTGGGGGGGGCAGGCCTAAAGCCGTGTAAGGGACCCCAAAATTTCTGACGGCTGCCCTGTGTATGGTCTAGTATCTTGTTTGCTTGGAGGGGTGATTAAGGGCACACAGAGGCAGACTGTCTATAGCCTGTTCTCTGTTTGTGTGTGATTCCTTTATTCATCACTGTCAAGGAAACGTTCAACTGGCAAGGAAATTAATGCTGCTTGTGCTTTGCTGGTGCATATGCCCGATATTGAAGATCAATCCTCCAAAGCTGGCATCTTGGTTTTTGAGTAGATACTGGCTTGTTAGTTCTCTTCTCCATATGCAGCACAATAAGTACGGGGAGGAGCTGTGAACACTAGGGGAAAACTCCCGTCAGTGGAATCCATGGGAGATACAAAAACATTAGTGAGTGATTGAACTCACTAGCATCCACCCATGACCAGAATATTAATTTTGTGTGGACTGACCCTTGAAACACCGGCTGTCAACATAGAAATGCCTTTTCTCAGCAATGATATTGAAATAGAAGTGAACCGTATAACAGACTGGCACCCTGTGAAACCCATCCGTGTGACAATCTGCTCGTTGTTGGGAGAGGGGGAGCAGATCTTGAGTTTTGCTGGAAAGAATGCTTAGGCAGCATCCAGCTTCAGATGTCTGATAGTTAAAGTAAAATAAATAACAATAATAAATTGTGCTCATTCTCCCCCCCTTTTTGCAGGATTACGTTCTGGCGGTGGAAGCCTATCATGCCGTTATAAAGTATTACCCCCAGCAGGAGCCACAGTTGCTGAGCGGTATCGGAAGGATTTTTCTTCAGGTAATTGCAGAACTCGCAACCAGTACAAATTCTCCCATTTAGTTATGTGGTCATTAAATAACGTGAAATATTGCTGTGGAGGAGCCACAGGGGAGCTCATTTGTTCTGGTGCTCATCCTGTAAATCGGACATTACAATTATTAGCTAATGATTAGTAGGCTAAGGAGCCTGTCTGGGAATGATGCGCCGATGCCAGATTCTTTACAGGTACAGAGCAGAAACTGGTGAGATCTCCCACTGGACAGAGGAGGGGGGCTCTGTGCTGTGTTACAGAAAGATGTAAGCTCCAGGCTTATGAAACTCCTCTATAATCCCCTTGTCAGAGTTACTCCAGTCTCTTACACAGCCTGGCATATCAGTCCTGACAGGTGTCCACAATCTCTTGTATTACTGTGGCAATGCTATGGGCCCGCAGCTGACTGTGACCTTCCTGGCTTCAGCGGGCCATACAAGGCCACAATCTACATTCTTGTCTTATGTGCTGCATTCCCAGGAGGATACTGCCGGTGCCATGTGCAGAGTCTGGCCTGGAATGCACAATGCGGAGCCATTTATGAACAGAGAACTTGGTGGTCTGTAAGATTCTGTTTGATATGTTTGTGAATGTGATCAGTTGTAAACAATCACATAAATGTCTTTTATAGAACAGCAGAGTAAAAAAAAAAAAAAAAAAAGTGCAAAATAAATTTTTTTAAAAAAACGAGAAAAAAAAAAAAAAAAAAAAAAGTGCATAAAAACTTAATCTCCAGTAAGAAATGAATGTGCCCTTTTTTTTTTTTCTTTCAGCAGCACATAGTGGAATCAGACCCAAGCTTTCACACATAAGCTCTAACACACGAGCTCTCAGTAATAAATATGTTTCTTTTATTATTTATTCTTTTAGCAGCACATTGTAGAGCCTGTCACTATTTCTCACACGCACTCTCACCTGCGCTCTCAGTAATAAAGATGTCTGTTTTACTTATTTTTTGTTTCTTTTAGCTGCACATAGTAGTTTAGACACATGTTCTCACACACGCGCTCTCAGTAATAAATATGCCTCTTTTTCTTTTAGCAGCACATAGCAAAGTCAGACCCAAGCTCTCACACACGAGCTCTCCATAATAAAGATGTCTGTTTTTTTAAAATTTATTTTAGCACTGTATAGTTGAGCCCGACATGAGCACTTGCACACGGACTCTCAGATGTGACTTTTTATTTTACTTTTTTTCATTTAGCAGCACATTCAAGAGAAGGACCTGAACTCTCACACACAAGCTCTCAGTAATTACGTTTCCTCTTTTTTTTTCCTTTAGCAGCACATAGTAAAGATGGACCCGAGCTCTTGCACACGAGCTATCACACACGAGCTCTCAGTAATAAAGATGTTTCTTTTGTTTTGTTTAATAGCAGTGCATAGTAGTGTTGGACACAAGCTCTCGGTAATAAATAGATAAATAAAAAAGATCAATCTTTATCTATTTTAGTGGCATATAGCTGAGTCGGACATGAGCTCTTACACACAGACTCTTAGTGATAAAGATGCATCTTTTTTTACTTTCTTTTGGCTGCACATTTAAGAGAAGTACCCGAGCTCTCACACACAAGCTCTCAGTAATTAAGATGCCTCTTTTTTACTACTAATTTTTTTTTTCTTTAGCGTCACATAGTAAAGTCTGACCCGAGTTCTCGCACTTGAGCTGTCACACATATGCCATCAGTAATGATGTCTCCTTTTTTTTTTCTCATAGCAATACATAGTAGTGTTGGACCCAAGCTCTCACACATCAGCTGTCACACATCAGCTGTCACACATCAGCTGTCACACATCAGCTGTCACACATCAGCTGTCACACATCAGCTCTCACACATCAGCTCTCACACATCAGCTCTCTCACTTGAGCTCTTCTATGGTCAAAGACTCCCCACTGCACACTGCTCTAATCAATATCCCCATCACGCCTTGAGTTGAAGTATTGATTAGGAGGGGGAGCCATGTTGGAGAGCTAGGCTTCATCTTGCATGTAAGAGTGTCAGTCAGACTCTTGTAGTGCTGCCAGCACAGGGTTTGTTTTGCTCTTGCTGCAGCACCAAGCAGATAGAAGCAAAAATGAACAAAGAAGCATATTCATTACTGTATATGGAGCCTGAAATGAAGATGGTTCAGTTGGACTTAAGTACAAAGTGTACCTCTCTCAGCAGCCTATTAGAATTAATCTTGTACTTGTCTGGTACCAGTAAAGTGAATTACTGTATATTGCTATGAGTTATTCACTTGGCTCTTAGTACTTTGCTCTTTGCATTATTGACTGAATAAGACTCTTAGGGGTGTAGTCATAAACAATTGGCAGAGCCAATCTCGCTGTGCAATTGAATGTACGTTCGTTCTGTCCAGATTTAGGCAAAAAAACCGAATGTTAGCAGCATTTTTTTTTTCAAGGTTGAATGTAATATCAGCCAAATACTGCATTATGGGCACTAGATGGAGCTTGAGGAGCATAGAAAAGAAGCATGCTTTAAATGAGTGTCAAAAAGGTGTTTACATTTCTTATCTCTATACTTGCTTTAGCGAAGTGGCATCACATTTTAAGCCTTACAATGGCAGCCAGGGAACTAGCATTCTCAAAACGTGGAAGGGGAGGGGTCAGCAATGGCAGGTTCCTGTAATATAAGATGGCCTTTAAAGGGAAATTCTCCAATTAAAAAATAAAATAAATAAATAACAAAGGCGCACCTCTTTATATTTTTTTTTTGTATTGGAACCAGTAAAGCCTTGTAACCGTGATCAGTGGATAGGGGGTGCCCTGGTTTTGCAGACTCCTTCCTCCCATCAGTGTCCGTACCTCTATACAGACTTTCAGTTACATGTACAGGAGGAAGTGTCAGTGGACTACAAGTGCGGTGATGTCACCTCAGCCGTGGTGGCAGATAGACTTGTCGTTTCTCCAGGCACAGATGCTGTCAATGTATGATGTGGTTGTATGGGCAGAGCTATGTACAGCCGAGCCAAAATTAAAAAATGTTAACAAGCCTGCAGAGAGAAGATCCCTGCAATTCAGGTAAGTGGGTGGGGGCGCAGGGGGTTGCTAATTACACGTGGAACATGGTCAAAAAGGTAATCTTAGCCTTTAAAGCAGAACTCTGGGCACAAATTTTAACCCCTAGAGTGGTGTTACCCCCACACTGAAAGAGTTGACTGCTCGTTTTTGTCTAGGCTAAAGCTTAGGTCCAGTTTGTCTCCTCTTCCGCAATGATGGTATGTTCCTTGGCGTCCTTACCACCTATACATTGTGTATAGAACATGATGACTCGGGGACCTTGGGCCGCTGCAGGGGAAGGAGAGAGAGGCTCCAGGGACCGGTTTAAGTGCAAGCCGGCTCCAAGGATCTTTTTTTTTTTTTTTTTTCACCTCCTAGACCAAAAGGAGCATTTGACTCTTGCAGTGCGGGGGTAGCCCCACTGCAAGTATTAATCAAATGTATGCCGGAGTTCTTCTTTAAATTACCTTTTAAAGTCAGCAGATCTCTTTCTTCTGAGATCTGAGTGATATTATGCACACCTGAGGTTCTGCATTTTGTTACACACTTTCAAGGCTCGTGTCTCATGACATCACAGGTGCCCTCTGTTATAACTGGACATATTTTGCACTGTTCTCCAGAAATGGCACATTTTTTTTCACCCCCCTCCCCAATGTAGGTGCCAGGTTGTCTTTAATCTGTCAGTCATATGAAACAGATGAAGACACAATGTGCAATCTGTTCTTGCGGCCTGGTTCAGCCAGATAAGATTGTGAGATGTGTGTGCTGACAAGTCCTGCCATGTAATAGATACATTGTCGGTTGTGGCAGGCAATGCTTGCTGTCACATCGAGTGCTATCAGACCAAACGTGATCAAATGGATAGATCTCTGCAAGATTTTCTTTTTACACTACAAATACAATCTGCTTGTTTTTTGTCTGTATATTCTCTGAGTGTAACTAGGGCATATCTTTTACTCATCTGATGATATCAGTTGCTTTTAAACTGAGCATTTTGTACTGATGGCGTTTGAAGCTCAACTCCAGACAAAACATACGCTTTATGTAGGGATGAATTCATTAAAAAAAACATTAAATATATGTTTACATGTAAGTGTAAATACTTCCATTTTACTTTTATATAAGTATTTTGTAATCCTGTACAACAAAGCTCAGACTGAGAGAGGGAGGTTCAGGACTGAGAGTCAGGTGTGCTGCAGTGCATACGTACTAACAAGTAACATGTCGATGGGAGAATAGAGCAGAGTGCCCGAGAGATGAGTTCATTAGTGTGCTGCTTCTCCTTTAGCACCCGTTCACACTATCCAGTGCGTTCATTGCACAGTCCCGTAATATGATTGCACTGGATCGCATAAACAAAGCTTCCCCGCATTCCGGGGTGGGAGGGGGCGTGGTGGTGCCGTTCATGTCAATGTCAGCGCACACGCACCGCCCGCCCGCAACGGAACGTGTAGTACCGCAATGCCCTGCATTCCAGTCGTGCACTATTTTTTTGGTGATCGCATCGCAAACATGGCACAGGACTGTACAAAGAACGCACTGGATAGTGTGAACGGGCCCTTACTGTCCATTGACAGGTTGGGGGCAGTAAGGAGGAGCTGTAAGTGTTACTTCAAGCAGATCTAAAGCCGTTTTAGGAAACATTACTGGCAGGCATTATTGCCAAAGAGCCTCTATGTCTTTTCTGCAATAAAAGCTCCTCTTCTTCCTGCCAGCAATGTTTTTGGGAGGTTTCTAATGCGCATGTGCAGCTCAGTGTACATTCTGAGAATGACTTGGTGTGCATGTGCAGGAGTTATGTCATCCCAGGCTGAACAATCAAGATATCTAAAGATCAGGCGCACATGTGCACAGTGGTGTTGGAGCAACGAGGAAGATCTCCACCACCACATCGCCGGAGGGGTCCCCTTGGCAGGTACATCTGCCATAATGTTTACATAAGTAGTGCATTATGGCTACAGATCATCTGTGGGCACCCCAGTGGCTTAGTGTTAGCACTTCTGCTTGCTTGCAGCATTGGCGGTCCCCAAGTTTAAATCCCGGTTAGGACACTGTCAGTAAGAATTCTGTGTGGGTTTCCTCTGGCTACTCTGGTTTACTCCCACACTCCAAAGACACGCTGGAAGGTTAATTGTCTCCTGGTGTGAATGTGCACTATTGGGGCCTGGTGTGAATGTGCACTATGTAAGGCACTGTGTTTTGTCTGTGCTATATAAATATCTGTAATTAATAAATGAATATACTTTAATATAACGTTAGTTCTGCTTTAACTGCAGTAGGGTAACATCAGATCACCGGGCTGGCTGTGCTATCAGTAATGACTTGACAGATACAAACCTTTTGGCAGGTAGATGAGATTTTATGTATGTATGTAATGTACGCAGGGGCGTCCCAAGGCCTGGTGTCACCCGGAGCCGTGACGTCATCGCGCATGCGTGGTCATCTAATTGACGCCTGCTGGCGGCCATCTTAGTGATGGACGCAGGCAGAGAGAGGAGGGGGCATTCACCTGGCAGGATGAGGTATGCCCCCGGGTCCCCTCCTCTCTCCTGACACTGTAGGGATTCCGGTCCATGACCGAGTGCTCGACTTTTTAGAGGGGGTGACGCCCCTGAATGTATGTGTGTTTAGCAGTTTTCCTGGAGTTCAATGTTCTATATTGAGAAACTTTCCAGCAACATGTCACTGGAGGTGTACCCAAAAGTGTACTAGGACTCCCCAAACTCCAAGATAGGAAGGAACATAGCCAGACTGTATGGCACCTGACTGCTGGTGTCCCCAAAAGACATAACAAGCTGGACAGTGAGTGGGCCCACAGACTGCACATAACATTTGGGGTGACAAGTTTGAACTTGTGAGACCTTTGGCAATGTATTTGAACAGTGAGGGCAATTTATCAAAACTGGAGCAGAGCAAATCTGGAGCAGCTGTGCACGACAACCAATCAGCTTCTATATTTCATGTTCAAATCTTTACTGAAGAGAGAATCTGAATGGTTGCCATGCACAGCTGCTCCAGATTTTCTCTGTTCCAGTTTTAATTCACCTCAAAATGTTTTGAGAGGATTGCTGGATGACATAGAAAAGTATAATTCATACTTGTCTGTACATTGTGTTGTCACCTCCTCGGGAGACAATTAGCGGCATTATTATTTTGCACTTTGTTATTCTCTGTTTTCCATTGGCCGGATTTCACGACTTTCAGAAGGCTGGTGGAGGTGGAAGAAGTTTGCGCACTGCTTATTACCTCATTAATCGTGGATGTTCTACAAGAGCCACCCCTGCTGTTTTCCAATTCTGACTAAAATGATCGAAGCCGAAAGCCGCTTTTAAACTTCCTTATGTAATTTGCCTTGCCAGTAAAAGAAGGCACCCCAGATTCCATTAACTCTTTCACTTACAGTGACCGTATTCATTACCGAGACCCAAACTCGATTTGTAATTTTATCTTCGGTGGTCTGATTACTTCATAAGAGGAGCAAGGTCAGGATACATAGGGCTGTTCACAGACTCGTACTGTATGTGTAAAGGATACACTGATGGGCTTATTCAGTAACTACTACAACCTTCATTGCCCCTGAAAAAATGTCCGCACCATTGCATGTAAAGAAGAATTATCAATGCCTAGCTCCAGAGAAGAAAAAAAAAACTGATTTTGCAGTAGGACTACCCCTGCACTTCAAGGGTTAACTGCTCATTAATGTCTAGGCCTAGGGCATTTTGTAAAGGACTTTTTACTTACCTGATCCCCGCTCAGCTCCCTTCCCAGCACTCCGGACTGTCCCTCAGCATACTCGTGGGCTGCCTGGTATGGTCCCTGCATTGTGCATGATGACGCCAGTAGTCTTTGGAGCGCAGGGGGAAGAGTTTGGAGGCACCAGTCTCCAAGCCTGTGGGAGCGGGGATCAGGTAAGAAAAACATATGTCCCTTACACATAATCAAGCATTTAATGGAGATCTATGAGGTGAGTGATTTCCACTCATCCTCATAGTTAGAGCCGACCTGTGACAAAGAAGCCGTCACAGGTCGGCTCTATCGATCGAGAAGTGAGCAGAAACATGCCGCCCATCCGCTCACTTGTCGATCATCTCCCTGCAACGAGCGGTGACTCAGTCACAGCTCCCCGCAGGGATTCCCCTCTCCAATCCTCCAGTGCTGAATGGAGAAACGGAAGGGGGGGAGGCGGGCACAGCTGGCTTTGCCTCTATATCTTTATATGAAGATTTTGGGGCGCTGAATCTCCTTATGTGCTATAACATTTGTTGTGTCATAAAACAATACACTCTTATATTTGTGACCAAAAAGTGTCGTTATTCAGAAAAATTTGAAATTCATACAACCAAAGTGAGACCCTATGATCAAGCACAATAAAAAAACAATACAAATATTAAGTGTCAATACAAATAATAATTGGACCAACAAAAATCAATTAACCAGCAAATTTAGAGGGTATGTCCTGCAGCCACCAGGTGATCTCCAAAACCCCCGACTGAAAACACAGATCTCCAAAAACACAGCCAGTGAACTATAGTGATTATCCAAAAACAAAGTCCAAACTCATATGGTGATGAGTGCAATGTGTAACAAAAAATCTTGAAGGGTGAATAATCGTCTTCTGATTCCTTATATAGCGTGATTGTGTGTAAGTGATCTTTCAAGTGTCACACATACACCCCCTAGGCAGTGCACACTTTTGCCTCTAGATAGACAGAGCCCGCTGTCACTCACGCAGCTCGGTGGATCTAGTGGAGTAATGTCTGGATCCGTCCTGGCTGCAGAGCTCACAGTATGCCCGCGATATGCTGAGCTTTGGGTCACGGGAGGAGGTTAGTATATGTCCTCCCGTGACCCTAAAGAGAACTATGGGGAAAAACACGTACCTCATAGTTCTCTTTTAACCCCTTGTAATGCAGAGATAGTCCCAATGCAAGGGGAGCATTTTTTTCCCCCGGATATGGGCTTTAATAGTATACTGTATCATACAAAATAACAAAACCACCATTAAAGTAACACTGTATTAACACCCTTCATCAGTAATAACCCTACACATATATAACAGATAAAACAAATAAAAACTAATCGTATACAGCTGAAAAGGACAACCAACACTGAGCCCTTAAACTAGCATGACACAGGTCAAATACATAGTAAATACATAGTGCATGAAACCACCTCTAATGACATGTGGAATGACACAAATAGTAAAGGAGATGAGTATATTGTGAACAATAAAGCATTGATGAATAAACAAAGTAATATATGTCCATTAACCTGCATGTACCATCCAGCTGCATGCTATGTGTTGAGAGAAATACAATAAACAGTGAAAAAACATCAGCATACAATCTACAAGATCGTAATACTTTGATGTTACTACTTTATATGCAATGGTGCAGACATTTTTTAGTGACAATTGAGGTTGTGTTAGTCTGCTTAGCAGCCCTTGACCTGCACATTTGTACTGGTTCATTTTGTTCTTTAGTTGGGGATTATTCAGTAATGCAGCACAAGGAGCTATAATGAATTACTGGAACAAACAGCCAATCAGGTTTCACTCAACTTCAATCCACGGAAGGGGAATTTGATGGTGTAATGCTGTGGCAGGAGTAGGCAACCTTGGCACCCCATCAATTGTGCAACTACAAATCCCAGGATGCACTACAAGGCTCTGGCAGTCAGACATGACTCTGGGGTGTCAAGGTTGCCTACACCTGTACTATGGGTCACTCAACTTGTACTTTGTGCTCTGATATTTTCATAAAAATGGCTGTTGTGAGGGGATAAACATTAGCGAATGAGACATAGACATCAGGAATGCTCTGGTCACACAGGGTTAGGAGGGTTCTGACAATATCTCGGGAGGGGGGTAGTTTTCCAAGCTGTCTGATCATTTTGTCCCCCCAAAAAAGTAGTGTGTGGGTTGCAGAAAAGTCTTTAGATCCGGGGTAGCCAAACTCTGGCCCTCTGTGGTGAAACTATAAATCCCATTAAACATTGCAGGCCTCTGACACGGCTTTCAGAGGCAGATGCACAATGGGATTTGTAGTATCAGCACAGCTGGAGGGCCAAAGACTAGCTACCCCTGCTTTAGATCATCAGTGTCCAGTGTGATATACAGTAGGTCTCTCACTATGGCTTCTGTATTAAGTAGAATACAATGATTGTGATACATTTCTGTTGCTGAGTACATTTTTTTCTTTTCTGTTCTTTAGATTGGAGACATAAAAACTGCTGAGAAGTATTATCTGGATGCGGAAAAAGTCATAGAGAATCTAGCTAATAAAGATGAACCAGAGATGAAAATTATGGTTTTGATGAACCGGTAAGCGGCTTGAGATATGTTTTTTGGCTTCTTCTCCTTTTTTCACTTCCTTTCTTGTGTGTTGTGTCCTCTTAGCTCAGGATTGGTAATTGAGGACTTCGGTGTCAGCAGAGATCAATGCTGACCTGTGTTCGTTTTAGTTTGACACAATGCAAAGCAAACGCTTTTCTACATGCTCATGTGTATTCCGCCATACAGCTCTGTATACATCCAGCACAGCTACTGCCAAGAATAGCACTTCATCAATGCATACAATGGCTCATGTGTGGCCTCTGCTCGCTGTATTCTGATACCGACAACAAAAACTTCTGGTGTTTTTTTCCCTGGAACGGTTTCTTTACATACCCCGAGGGACAACACAGAGCTGGTTTATTGAGCTTTGTAATTTGACTTTAAAGTGCAACTGAAGCCAAAGCTCTTTTTTTAGTTTTGGATAGAGTGAGTAGGGATTACAACAGGGACAAGTTTCTTTTATTGCTGTCTGTCCCCGTTAGGAAGATTTATCATCTCAGTTTGTCCTGGTGACTGTTATCACTAAAAGTGAATGTGAAAGCAAATCTCAAATTTTGGATTGTCATCAGAATGGGAAAAGATGGGAAATCTTCCAATGGGGCCACTAATTCTGGTGACCCTGCTGACCACCAGGGATTTCCCTCATTTTGGAGGGAATTCCTCTCACTTCCGGTTGCGGCTATCAGACAGGAAGTGAAGGGAAATCTCCCAGTGGGACATAGATGGCAAAAAAGCTGGCAGGGTTTATAATCCTCCCTTACTCTATCCAAATCTAAAACAGACGTTTTGGCTTAGTTCTACTTTAAGTTAATTGAGAGGGGAAAACACAGGTTATTTGTCTGCTCCAGTTTAGATAAATTCCCCTCACTGTGTAAGTTATTTTTGTACAGTGTGATGGGTACCCTATAATATCTTCTAAAACCGTTTTCACTTTGAAATCATGGAAGATAAATTCCTGGTAATATAATAGTCAGTTTCATAGGGTCTCACAGAGGGGAGGTTTCTATTTAAAGGGCAACTTGCAGGAAAATGTGAGATCTGCTTATCTAGAAGCACTCCATCACCTGAATAAAATGCAAAGTGAAAGCCAAATTAAAGAAAAATGTCAAAAATATATTTGCCTACCCTGACTTCTAAAGGGCTTGCCTAGGTGAGAGTGTCATTGCGGAGCCGTGTCACAAGAGCCTGGAAAGCTGAGGGACCCCATAAGCATAGACTCCCTCACAGTGCTGGAACATCTTCACACAAGATTTGAGATTCTTAATTTTCCCAAAATCCTGCAATAAGGCCTGATAACGTAGGAATTTTGTGCATTTTTCTTTCTAATTTTTTTTTTAAATGACTGTCACTTCAAATTTTTTAATCGGAGGTAATAGTTGGGCTTCTCCCAGATGAGTGGACCTTGCTTTAATAAAGGGTATAGCAGGAAGGCTATGGTGCCTGCTGTTAGACAGATCTTTGTCAGAAGGACACCTTCACCTTTTGTTAAGTTCAACCACCCTCTGAGTGCAGCCCATCTAGGACAATATTTACATGCCTCCCTGATCCAGCGATCTTTCCTTTAACAAGGTCCTGGCTGGTTCCTTTTCATTCTGGGCATGCCAGCCATGGCCCCATTCATTTTTGTGGCTAAGCCATATTCACGTCAGCCTCTGGCATCTTATCCAAAGGAATGAACGAGGCTGTGGCACGCATGTGCGGTTGGAAGAGGATCTTGTCAGAGCACAGACCACTGGATCGGAGAGGAACATAAGTATTATCCCAGGTGGGATGCACTCATTGAAGTGGGGGGATATTATTAAGGGACAACTTCATGAGTTAACCTTTAAAATACATTACATACCTGCTTTCAAATGAGGTCAGAATGACCACCCACTGAAAATATTTATACATGTATAACATTTTGTCTTCCAGGGCTTTCCTACACCTTGGTCAGAATAACTTTGCAGAAGCTCAAAAGTTCTTCTCGGAGGTGCTGAAGGTGGACCCAACAAACACGGTGGTAAGCGTCTAAGCTGTTGATTCAAAATGGCTGCAGTAAAACTGATGAGAATATTGGTGGCCACCCACATGCATGAAGTGAGGTGTTGGAGCACTTGATCTGCATAAACAGCTTCGAAAAATAGGCATCTAGATTTGATTGTCCATGTATGAGGACAGTCCAATCTCAATGAATTGAGCATTTGGTACACGTGACCTCCATGAGGAAAGTCCAATCTCAATGAATTGATCATTTGGTACAGGTGACCTCTATGAGGACAGTCCAATCTCAATGAATTGATCATTTGGTACAGGTGACCTCTATGAGGAAAGTCCAATCTCAATGAATTGAGCATTTGGTACAGGTGACCTCTATGAGGACAGTCCAATCTCAATGAATTGAGCATTTGGTACAGGTGATATCTATGAGGACAGTCCAATCTCAACGAATTGAGCAGGGTTCTGTATTCTTGGTTCGCTAATAATAGAATAGTTATGTTGGCCTAGGTTGTCAGGGGCATCCCTTACACAGGACTTTTATTGGCAAGACATGCACAAAATGACTCTTTGTCCTACATATGTCCCATGTATGGCCACCTTAAAGGATAAGTAAGCCTTAAACAGTAGGCCATCCTGCCCCTCCTCAGATGTAGACTTACTTTCATCTTGCAGCCCACCTATGGTTATTTTGACAGCCAACAACCATTTTTTGGAGATAAAGTAAGCTAAGGATTACAACCCCTGTCAACTTTTTGCCATCTATGTGATATGGAGAGATTTCCCTTTACTTCCTGTCCAGTAACCAAACAGGAAGTGAGCGGAAATCTCTGGTGGTTAGCAGGGTTACCATAGCTAGTGTCCCCAGTGGACATTTCTCATCTGTACCGGTTCTGGTGACAGCCAAAAATTTGGCATTCACTTTTACCGATAATGGTCACCAGGACAGATAGAGATGTGAATCTCCTTAGCAAGGACACAGACCGCAAAGAAAAACCTGACAGGGGTTCAAATCTCTCCACTCCATGTGAAAACTACAAAAAATAAAAAATTTGGCTGTTGCACTTTAAGTTTAGTATACATCTGGGACAGGGGAGAGTGTTATACTGTATGACAGAAAAGTAATTAGAAAGGTAGTAGGGACAAATTAGTAGGGTAAGTTTTAAGACCAATTTAGATTAATATTACATTCCATGCATAAGAGTATCTAAGGGTAGAATAGTTTCATCTAAATACTGCAATCAAAAATGAAACTGAGAATCTGATTGGTTGATTCGCTGTACTCTTTAATACTTAACTACGCCAAGGGGTCTAGCTATAAACAGTTTGCCCTGCCAATCTCTGTGAACATTCGTTCTGTGCAAAGAAGGAAAAATTAACGTTCTCAGTAAATTTTCTTTTCAGGTTGAATGTAAAGTAATACCACATTATGGCCACCAGATGGTGCAGAGGAGCATAGGAAATAAGTATATATAAGTAATGCTGCAGTGCACAGCTCCATCTACTGGCCATAATGCTGTATTACCTCCAACCTACAAAGAACATATACTAGGGGCATTCGTTTTTTGCATTTATTTACACACAGTTGATGCCCATGGAGATTTTCATGGTGAATGGCTTTGTGAATTGTTTATAAATAGACCCCTATATGTATGTGGTCTTCATAAGAAAGGAGAGGCAGTGTTGGAAAGAGCCTGGCATCAAGTAAACCTATTGCTTATTCTAATCCAGACAAAGTACAGGTTTGCTTTAAAATGGTGCAGATCATTAATGAAGAGCAAAGTGCAGTAACCTATGGAGACCAATCAGATTTCTCTGTACTGTGTCTTATGGATCTCTGCACTTTGCGGTTTGTGTTGGTGAGTGAACCTAAGTGCTTATAGAAATAGTTTCCTGCTACGTCCCTGGTGGTGGTGTTGGATTATAACTCCCAGCATGCATTTCTGGCCTAAAAGTATAATTTTCAGGTAACAGAAGTCCCCTTATATTTCTATATGACATGATCATTCAGGGTGACAGAATGTTCTTTTAGACTAACGGAGCTCTTACATTAAAACATTGACTTGTAAGAGAAATGTGAATAAAACATAGAATGGGGATGCCATTGAAATGCATTTTCCAGTCCTACTAGTAGTGCAGAGAGGAGTGTCTGTGGTGTATAATTTATCAAACTTGCATCTGATTAGCATCACACTGCAGCTCCGTTCTCTTCGACTTCCACTCAGGGTTATATGTAGATGGAGTGCTTCTACTTTAATTACACTGACATATACAGAAGTAGGACACACTTTAAAGCATAATGCTATATCTCTAGCCTTTTTTTTTTTTTTTTTAATAGCACGTCATCTTTAGAAGGAACATTTTTTTGGAAAATGTCACGAAATTCCACAGAGAAATTTTGGTTCTGTCTGCCCTCCTAATAAACACAAGAAGCAACTGCTGCATTGGGCTCTATGGGCTGAATTCACAGCTCTTCTAGCTCCACCTAGTGGTGGTTCTTTGTTGTTGCAGCCAAACCTCCAGTTAGATACACCATATTACCAAAAGTATTGGGACGCCGGCCTTTACACGCACATGAACTTTAATTTCATCTCAGTCTTAGTCCGTAGGGATCAATATTGAGTTGGCCCACCCTTTATAACAGCTTCTACTCTTCTGGGAAGGCGTCCACAAGGTTTAGGAGTGTGTCTATGGGAATGTTTGACCATTCTTCCAGAAGTGCATTTGTGAGGTCAGGTACTAATGTTGGACGAGAAGACCGGGCTCACAATCTCCGCTTTAATTCATCCCAAAGGTGTTCTATTAGTTTAGGACTCTGTGCAGGCCAGTCAAGTTCCTCCACCCCAAACTTGCTCCTCCATGTCTTTATGGACCTTGCTTTGTGCACGGGTGCGCAGTCATGTTGGAACAGGAAGGGCCCATCCCCTCCACCAAACTTTACACTTGGCACAATGCAGTCAGGCAAGTATCGTTCTCCTGACAACCGCCAAACCCAGACACGTCCATCAGATTGCCAGACAGAGAAGCGTGATTTGTCACTCCAGAGAACACGTCTCCACTTCTCTAGAGTCCAGTGGCGGCGCGCTTTACAACACGGCATCCGACGCTTTGCATTGCACTGGGTGATGAAAGGCTTGGATGCAGCTGCTTGGCCATGGAAACCCATTCCGTGAAGCTCTCTACGCACTGTTGTTGTGCCAATCTGAAGGCCACATGAAGTTTGGAGGTGTGTAGCTATTGACTCTGCAGACAGTTGGCGACTTTGTGGCTGAGTTGCTGCTGTTCCCAGTTGCTTCCACTTTGTTATAATACCGGTAACAGGTGACCGTGGAATATTTAGTAGCAGGAAATGTCACGTAACGCCTAAATCCAATTATTTTTAGGGGCGTCCCAATACTTTTGGCAATATAGTGTATCAATATACAGCATTTCATTTCCGTCAGCCATGTATCTGTCTGTCCGTCATTCTGCTGCCCTGTCTATCTGCCCATCATTTCTACCTGCCTTGTCTGTTAAAGGCGAAGTCCACCTTTTTGGTAGCCTACTTCATAAAAAAATAGCAAATTTTTTCTCTTTGCATTAGAGCCAGTAAAGCATTGCAACCTGGATTGGTGGACGGTGGGTGCAATGCTCTGACTCCTGCAGATTATTCCTCCGGTCCATGTCCGTACCAAGGTACAGACATACATTAACATGGATGGGAGGAAGAATGAATGGACTACCAAAGTGGTGCCAAGTCCATTGAGAAATACAACTACCTCTGCTGTGATGGCTGATGGGACTTGTAAGTCTCCATTCACAAAACCTGTCAAAAGGATCTGCGAATGGATGACGCAGCTGTGTGTGTGGGCATATTAAAGAGAAAAAATAGCAGCATTTGGGGAGAAAAATCCCACGATTCAGCAAGAGGTGGAGGGGGTTGTGATTTGACCATGTTTCATGTTTCTCCCTGATTAGGAGTGTTACATGAAGCATGGCTAAAAAAGTAAGCTTCCCCTTGCCGCCTCCTCTGTATAGATTACATCATTTTAGTTTCAGGTTGTTGTCTGTCTTGCTGCTAGGGAGAACCCCTCACTTCCTGTCTCAGTGACACAACAGGAATTTGGAAACCAAAAAGAGAAACAAGAGGGCGCAAAACTAGGTCAGCTAACTGCCTGGACCGAACATATCAGGGAAGGTGACAGGAAGAGTTAATATATATATGTATAATGTACTTACTTATGTGGGTCTGGGAACCAGATGTGAACCGGCCTGTGAGGAGGATCAGGATGTCCAGAATGTATGTTGAATGGCGGCTGATATGTTGCCTGAGGCTGCTCGTCCCAAGGGGGAGAGAGAAAAGGAGAGGAGGAAGGTGTGCAGGGGGCAGGTGACGGAACGAAGATATGGTCCGTCTTTCTGACACAGCAATGAGGGGTTTGAGCAGCGTGCAAGAATGGAGTCTGGCTGTGCTGCTGTGGCCGCAGCTGTGGATGGTGTGGCTCAGTCTATGAGTGGACCGGCGCTTAGCAGTGTGCCCTAACCGTAATAACGGCAATAGACGGGAGCCGGCAGGGAAGTCAGCAGGGTGGCGAACGGTCGGGTCAGTGACTGTCATGGGTGAGGAACAAGAGCAACGTGTTTCGAGGACTGACACCTCTTTCTCAAGCTCCAAAAGAATCGTATAGCGGTGGCAGGAATCTGCCGATTTAAATGTGACAGCTGGGTGGAGCTTGGGGGCAGTAGGCGGCGGAGCCGCAAAGTAAAAGCTGTTGAGCCTCGGCATGTGCATAGATGTTTGATATGTGCTCGGAATACACTGGACAGATTGGACAGTATGGGGAAACATGGAGGTGCAGTTGGGGGAACGGAAAACACAAGTTCTGTTACTGTGAGAACGAAACATGGGCATACAAAACATGGGTGTTTCTTTTTGAAAAGGCATAAGAAGTATCGTGAAAAACAATCAGTTCAAGATTGGTTGTTTAATTGTACATGATGATAAAAATGGGCTGGCCATTTGTTGCGCCCTCTTGTTTCTCTTTTTGGTTTTCACATTCTAAAGGTTCTCCTCCTGGTTCTCAGGGCTGCATGCTATCTAGGGTCACACAATCCACCTCTCCAGGTTAAATCCGACAGCGCTGTCCGTACGATTTGTGTTTTTTGTCTAACAGGAAGTTGGAGCCAGCAGGAATGTGACTATAACATTTTCACTGAGATCTATCCCTTCCCTCCACACTTTTGTTTTCAATGATGAGATTGTAGTCTGTCCCTGAGACTTGCACTTAGGATGCAGTAAGACACAGGCAGTGCGCAGTACTTCTAGGTGGGAAGCATGTGTAATGATCAAAAACGCCCGCCCATTTATTATTACTGTGTGTATGTAACAAAAACGTTTTGAAATATTAAAAGTACCTCTTTACGATTAGAACATCCTCGTTTATCTGTGGAAAAAACATTTCAAAAAATAGTTTCCTTTTAAAACGGCTGTGTGTCCTAGCTGTAAGGGCCCGGGCACATCTTATGGGGCAGAGTGTTTCTGATGACTGTATATGTGCATGGAGGTACCATTCAAAATGGAATGGCAATACCTTTTAATGTTTTGGGGTAAATTTACTAAAACTGGAGGAGCTGTGTATAGTAACCAATCATCTTCTATCTTCAGTTTGTTCAGTAAAGGTGGCCATACACTCTACAACCATCGCAAGACTTTAGTCTTGCGATGGTTGTACAGGGATTAAAAAAACGTACGATCTGCCTATCTTGGACAGGCAGATCGCACTTTCGATCATCGCAAGCCCGCCCCCCTGAGGGGCGGGCTTCCGATGACCGCAATGCTGAACGGGCAGTGTGCGCGTGCGCACACCGGCCCGCTCGGCATTTGTCTTCCGAGCACCGTTCTAACCAGCCGAGAATCGTACGATTCCCGGCTGGTTTTCGAACATGCTGGTTCGACAGAAGACGTGCGACCGTACAGTAGAAACGGTCGCACGTCTCCGTTCACACTGCTCGATTATCGTACGAAAAACCGATCGCATACGATTATCGTACGATAATCGTGCAGTGTATGGGCACCTTTAGGCTTTGAAAATGAAAGAGAGACGCTGATTGGTTGTCATGCACAGCTGCTCCAGTCTTAGTAAATTCACCTCTATGTGCATTGCTGTAAGGCAAGGGTAGTGCATTAAAATTCAAGGAGGTCCAGTGAATACAATTTTCATTGAGCCGCGGTCCAAATCACGTTCTGGACAGAACGGACACTCTTATTGGTACCGCGGTCTGCCATTAGAGCATTCACACCAGAAGCTGCACTAAAACGAACAGCTGCTGGTATTTGTTCACAGACATAGTGCTGATCACAGCGTATCTTTCCAGAAGTAACCCCCTGCCTTAAGCACATGTTCATTAGAATCAGATGGCTGGGGTGGCAGTGCTGGTTTTCATTTATTATTATTATTTTTGACTTTGACTCTTTTTTATTTATTTTTTACTTTTCTTTTGCACTTCACTTTTTTGCTATCACAGTGGGGATAACAAGCCCCTATGTAACAGTGTTTGGAAGTGACAAGTTCCTTTTATGGAGACATCAGTGGTCTATTGAACTCCTGATGTGTCTCCTGCCCTCCAACACAGACCATCAAGCACAGGAATGTGCTTACTAGTTTGTATAGCCAGCACCCCAGCTGCCTTCTGACAGCTGAAGCATGAAGTGCTGAGTGCTTCAGTGATCACACAGCAGATGAGGAATGGACATTCCCCCAGTCTGCTCCTGCTCTCCATACTGACACTCTGCTCCTCTGGAGGGCCCAGGAACATGGCACAGAGGACCCAAAATCACAGCGGGGGATAAGGGGACACACAACGCCAGCCTAGTACAAGTGATCTTGGTGATGGTACAGCCGCCCAGATCACTTGAAGTTGTAGCAGCTGGCCCTGCCTGATGTCATTGGTTGCTAGCATGCCAGCAGTCCTAGCCACCAATGACTGAAGCTGAGGGGGGCCTGCATTGGGTTATGGCTGGCAGTGGATGCACCCAGGGGGTTAACCTGTGCTCCTTTTCATTATCACTCAGGGGTTATCGCTTATCACGGGGAGAAGATTTCTGGACTACTGGAAAGTCTCTGCACCCATAGAAAACGGGGTGCATTGAAATGAAAGGTTTCAGCAGGTTCAGCATCCTGGGAGGTGACGGGTAGATTTTTTGCCAGACCACCATGATCACTTAGAGATGTATGGGCAAAACGTGGGGGGGCGGAGTCATAAAGCCCAGGACCTGCAACCAGGGTGTGTTACAGCATGCACATTAATGTGTGGTATTCTGCACATTGCATGCACTGCATTGATGCTGCACTCTTGGCAAATAGAAAAGAGACAATGGATTGTAGTTCTGCACTCAATAATACAATGTTAAGTGTTTTTTTTTTAAATAAAACCAATGTTACAACCTGAATTTGGCTTGGTATCTGCCTCTCGCAGTCCAGCAGAGCTCAGACTGGAAGAGTATGAACCATCACAAGGAGCCCATCCATCCATCTTCTGCCAAATAGTGTGCTGGTAGCAGAAGAGAGCAGAGTGACAGAGAGATGAGCTCATTAGCCTGCTGCTGCTCCTTTCACTGCCCAGTCACAGGCTGTGGACAGGCCCATGACAGCCTGCAGGAAGTGGGTAGAATGCTGCTAGCTTGTCATTCAACCCAGAAGACTGACATCTTGTGGCGGAAAAGTACTACAGGGACAGCTTTGAGTTAAGGTGAGTATTACGGCAACATTTGCTTTATTTTAGCTTTTAATGGGCTATTCATATTTTATTATTTTTGAGTGCAGTTCTTATTATAGGTAGCCCATTCCAAATGAATATACAACAGCATATAGAAAACCTGCATATTTGTTTTGAATGCCGCACACCATAATGCCTAATATGTGTGCTGTGATGCATTGCTGGCTTATGCAGAGGTATGCACCGCACAAAGTGCCTGTGTTAGGATTCATTGCAGTGACACATAACACATAGGTCTAAAGCCAAGCCGTAAGGGATTGACATATCGGGGGCTACAAGTGGCCATGCCGGTATACATTGCACGGACATGGTCCTCTATTGTCTCAATCAGAAAAGCCGCTGTGACAAATGCACTCCAGCGATGTCTGCCTGACATGTAGACAGGAAGTGGCTGCAGGAGATCGAATGCTGAGATACAAAAAAATGATTAAAGGAAAAGATAAAAACAAAAATGGCCATTGAGGTACGGTCAAAGTAAATCTCCGATCATGAGAGTATTTCAGAGGCGCTGAGGGGAGTCTCTTGTGATCTTTCATGGTAGACCCAACTTGATTTGTAGGTAGCTCATTAGCTGCACAATGCAATGCCTCATGGGATTTGTAGTTTCATCACAGCTGGTGTAAGGGACACAGAAGTCCACTTTGCAGCCTAAAGATCCAATGTAAGGCCTTTCTTTTCTATCCTCTCAGTGTTATACTTGTCCATAAGACCAAACACCCAACAGTTTTTGTATTCTGATTCTGTATATTTGAGTCTTGCAATGTGCTTATGTGACTTGCTGAGGTTGTCTACCCCCAGATGTGGGCTATACTTATGCTTTGAGTACACCCATTCTTAGCTATCTGTGTATCAGGCAGCACAGTCCATACCTTTACTTGGCAGCCGCTGTGTTGAAATCAGTTACCGAATTGGACGCATAGTGTTTTCCGTTAGCCCAGACAGACCCATAGATCTGCATTGAGGAATTGTAAAGCAGCCACTGTGCTGAAGCAGAAAGCACTGTGTGTGTAAAAAAAGAATATATATACACACACACACACACTGCCTGTCCAAAAAAAAAAAAAGTTACCACCTGGATGTAGCTAAGCAAATAGGTCAGAGCCTTCCATTGGATAATAGGTCTAGGTTCAGCAACATTATGGCCCCAAACACTGAGGTCAGCTGCCTCCCTGAATATACTGAATGACCAGGTTTTTCAATCAATGGCTTTTTTCTTCCCTGATGGCACATTGGGCGTATTCCAAGATGACAATGCCAGGATTCATCGGGCTCAGATTGTGAAAGAGTGGCTCAGGGAGCATGAGACATCATTTTCACACATGGACTGGCCACCACAGAGTCCAGACCTTAACCCCATAGAGAATCTTTGGGATGTGCTGGAGAAGATTTTACGCAGTGGAAATGAAGCCACGGCGAATGCGTACTGTAATCATAGCTAAAGGTGGTCCAATAAAACATTAGAGGACAGACTGTATGTGTGCGTGTGTGTGTATATATGTGTATATGTATATGTGTGTGTAAATATAATATAGTTTCCCCGTTCGTCGTATGAAATCCCCATTTCAGAACGGGAATGTTGCTTCTCAAACATTAGCACAGGTTGATCAGATTGCAGTGCATTGCTTGGTATAAGAATGCAGCATAGACGCGTGGCGCTGTGCCGCAGTGAGCACATTGATGAGGTTATCGATCTCGGCTTTATTGTTCCACCTCATTCCCAAATCTGTTTTTTTTTTCTCTTTTTTTTCCCAGGCAAATAACAATGCTGCCGTTTGCCTGCTTTATTTGGGCAAATTAAAGGATTCCCTCAGGCATCTGGAAGGATTGGTTCAGCAGGATCCCAAACACTATCTTCACGAAAGCGTTCTCTTCAATTTGACAACTATGTATGAGCTGGAGTCCTCGCGCAGTATGCAGAAGAAGCAAGCTCTGCTGGAGGCGGTAGCTGTCAAGGAAGGTGACAGCTTTAACACTCAGTGTCTGAAGCTGCTATAATTCTGCTGCTGCTGCTACATCTCCTCACACTGAGAATAGACTGCAAGGAAAAAGTCCTTCCTGTGTATATATTACTGCCGGGAAATGTAAATGGGGTTCCCAGGTTAAATAGGATAATAGGATTGAAATGTGTCCGCTATGTACTTAGTCAAATAAACAATAGATGATCTTATGTTATTTTTTTCTGTTCAGAGTCTGTAATTGTATCACATTAAACTGATTATAAGGTAATATCTTTGAGGTTTGATGCTATTTACAGGGATGTGTTTAAAGAGGACCTGTCAGCTTGTAGCACTTTCTGCAACTTGGCAATGCTACTTATTTTTTATATGCATGTTCTATCCATGCTTGGAGGTTAGAGGAGAGAGAATGTTTTATAACCTGTTGTAGTTAGATTCAGAACTTGCTGCGACTGTATACTCTTGTCACAGGTTTCTGTTCTGGAGCACCTCCTTATCTGAAAAATAATGATGGTGCTGGAAGCACTGAAACTGGTGGCGTGCGTCCTTGCAGGCTCAGATTCAGGACCATTTGTATGCGGGAAACCTCAGAGGTTTAGTAAACTGACAGCCAGCTGCAGAGGATCAGATGAAAGCAAGACCCATTGAACTGGTAGGATGTGCTCAGACTCCTTGTACATACAAATTGTCAGATGGCCGGGGTGTGTCTTTAATCCAAGCCTTGATGATAGAAGTCACCAGCACTCAATATTGTGCAAGAAGCATAAGCATTTTTATTATTCCGTCAATTGCGTCATCAAGCCAACGTTTCGGGGGCATGCAGGGCCCTTTCTTCATAGTGGCAATCAAAAGCAGAGTAGTATAAACTCTGCCAGTCTGCTGCTTCAGAGTGGCCATAGAGCCCCTTCAGGGCTTTGGGATTCCAATGTATTTTCTAGGCATTGTACTGAAACAAAAAAGTAGGGATGCACCAATATATCAGCCGCCGAAGCATATCGGCCGAAGATGGCACTTTTGGCATAATGCCGAAAGTGCCTTTTTCCAGCCGATACATCGACGCATCCCTGCTTTCTTTCGTCCTCGCTGGGCGCTGCTCTGTGTCCCAGCGGGGAGGGGAGAAACTGTGACAGCCGGCCGAGTGCTGCAGGAGGAGAGCACTGTGAGCGGCCGGCGTCTCCTCCCACACCGCTCAGCCTCCTATCACAGTCCGCAGAGCGGTGTGTGGGCGGAGACAGGCCACGCTGTCACAGGAGGCAGAGCTCTCCTCCCTGCACCGCTCGATCAGCCTCCTGTGACAGCGTGTCAGAGAGGAGAGCGGTACAAACACTCAGTGATCAGTGATCGCTGAGTGTTTGTAGATAATTGAGGACATGGTATGTGTACTATATCCTCAATTATGAATGAATGGGAAGTGATCTACATCCCCTCCTGTTCATTCATAGTTGTAGTTATAGTAAACATACTATGTTCTCAAGTTATGAATGAACAGAAACACTCATGGAGGATTCCTGTTCATTTATAACAGGGGACACAGAAAAAGAGATTGAGGACTCTGTGTTCTTAATCTCTTTTTCTATTTTAAAAGGGAAATATCAGGGGTCTGGTTAGACCCCCAATATTTCCCCCGAAGCCCCTAAAAGTAAAGTAAAAAAGAAAAATATTTAATAAATTAATAAATACATATAAAAAATTAAAAAGTTTAAAAAAGAAAAAAAATATTTGAAAAAAAAAAATAACATTTTGACAATTTTTTTTATCTCGGTTTTGTTTCAGTTTTAACATTTCCATTTCGGTGCACCTCTCCAAAAAATGCATACATGTGTATCTGATCAACCTCTGCAATTCACCGGATCCATAGGAAATGCTGGTGCACGGCAAGGCTTCTGTCGGCCTTCACCCAATGGAAGTATTATAGCAAAAAGTCCCGCACACAGTTTTAATGATTTTTTTAGAAATGAATCCACAAACAACTGACATAAAACAGGTTCCTTATGTGTTTCAGCTGCAAACGGCCTTCATCCTAGCTAAGATGAAGGCCGTTCATGGCTGAAACGAGTAAGCGACCTGTATTGTGTGAGCTGTGTGCAGGATGTTCTGCTATAATACTTCCATTGTACTGAAATGTACCAATGTAGACCTTACTGCACGGTATAATTACATTGATTGAATATTATACACTTAGGACAATGAACTGTCTCCTCGGCCCATGCAAACCTCCTGCAACTGTCCAAACAAATCTAGAGAAATCTAGATGTCACTAAAGAGCCACATACCAGTCCACAAGCTATACCAGGGAAGACAACCTTGACACTCCAGGTGTGCTGGAAGTACAAATCTCGCCATGCCTGGCTGTGGGCTGTCTTGCAATGGCTCATGGGACTTGTAGCGCCGCAACAGCTGGAGTGCCGAGATCGCCTACCCCTGGGCTATACATAACACACTGAAATGGGTCAAGCATCTTGCATACCTCCTACACACTACTTACTGAACTGAGATAGTAGAGTGGTGGGAGCAGAGCCTAGGACACTCCCTAATAATGAGAAAACCATATGGTAAGTATTCAAATACATAGAAATCCCGGGAGAACATAACCTCCATCCAATACAAATGTGCAAAAAGATTTATACCATAGTCCATACACCAAATTTTACAGACCTCCAAGGTAAGGAGCATTCTACCCACTGACTGCCAGGTAAGGAGCATTCTACCCACTGACTGCCAGGTAAGGAGCATTCTACCCACTGACTGCCAGGTAAGGAGCATTCTACCCACTGACCGCCAGGTAAGGAGCATTCCACCCACTGACCGCCAGGTAAGGAGCATTCCGCCCACTGACTGCCAGGTAAGGAGCATTCTACCCACTGACTGCCAGGTAAGGAGCATTCTTCCTACTGACTGCCAGGTAAGAAGGATTCTACCCACTGACCGCCAGTGGGGTCTAAGGGGGCGTGGCTAACGCCAAACACCGAGCGGCTGCGGACTGGGGAGAGGGGGGAGAGTACTGAACAGCCCTGCCCTACCCGGGATCGCCGGGGCACACGCTGCAGGACGCACAGTGACACTGATTACACTGAGCCGCAGGAGAACCCAGGGACCCCCGCAACGAGAAAGAAGAGGGGACGGAGGTCTGGTGGAACTGGCGCCTCAACACCAGGGACGCTGAGGAAATATCTAAGGGCAGGATTCCACCCACTGACTGCCAGGTAAGGAGCATTCCACCCACTGACTGCCAGGTAAGGAGCATTCCACCCACTGACTGCCAGGTAAGGAGCATTCCACCCACTGACCGCCAGGTAAGGAGCATTCCGCCCACTGACGGCCAGGTAAGGAGCATTCCGCCCACTGACCGCCAGGCAAGGAGCATTCCACCCACTGACCGCCAGGTAAGGAGCATTCTACCCACTGATCACCAATGTGAGGAGCATTCTACCCACTGATCACCAATGTGAGGAGCATTCCGCCCACTGACTGCCAGGTAAGGAGCATTCTTCCCACTGACTGCCAGGGAAGGAGCATTGTCCCCACTGACTGCCAGGGAAGGAGCATTGTCCCCACTGACTGCCAGGGAAGGAGCATTGTCCCCACTGACTGCCAGGGAAGGAGCATTGTCCCCACTGACTGCCAGGGAAGGAGCATTGTCCCCACTGACTGCCAGGGAAGGAGCATTGTCCCCACTGACTGCCAGGTAAGAAGGATTCTACCCACTGACCGCCAGTGGGGTCTAAGGGGGCGTGGCTAACGCCAAACACCGAGCGGCTGCGGATTGGGGAGAGGGGGGAGAGTATGTCTACTACTGTCCCCCAATGGGTATAGGACAGTATTTTTAGTAATGTTTGTTTGTTATGTTAGATTTAATGTGTTTACACGGGGAATTATGTTTTGTTTCGTTATGTTAGTTTTAATTGGCATCCTGTCCGAGAACTCATTAAGTAGTTGGAACTATTCTACCCAGGGAATAAATGACCTCGATTAATTTACTAACATATAATGTGAGGGGAATGAATACTCAGAACAAACGACATCAAGTGATGAGGGATTTAAAACGGATGGATGGACATATAGTTTTTCTGCAAGAAACATACCACCACCACCAGACTTAGCAAGAATACATTCTCACAGTGGTACTATAGTCTTATCAGATACTAACAGAGCTAAAGGGGTGGCCATTGGTATTCATAAAAATGTCCCATTCACATACTCAGACATGCAGTCTGATGAACAGGGTAGATACCTATTTATTAAGGGGTCCATAAATAACACAACATGCACATTGGTTAATATATACTGTCCGAATCAAGAACAGATATCCTACATTTCTAATGTTCTCTCACGCTTGATTGATTTCGCAGAAGGGATGCTAATAATTTCGGGTGATTTGAATGTTGCGCTAGAACCCCTGATTGATACCTCGGCAGGACACTCTAATATCTCATTAAAAAAATTAGCAAGCCTGAAAAAACTCCTAAACAAGATGCAACTAGTAGAAAGGATAGGAATTATTCTTATTATTCTATGGTACACAATAGATACTCTCGCCTGGACTATATTTTTATAGATCATCATTATTTAGAAAGTTTAAAATCATCACAAATAGCGGTGATAACTATCTCAGATCATGCCCCGGTCATAACCACAATAAATCTTTCCCAGGGGATGGTGAGAGATCGTGTTTGGAGACTGAATGAATCTTTATTGTGGAGACCATTGGATGTGAAGAAAGTGAATGAAGATCTCAGTGAATTCTTTGCACCTAATGACTCCCCAGATATCCCGCCCGCCACCCTATGGGAAACACACAAAGCTGTTATGAGAGGGAAACTGATTGAATTGGGGTCTAGGAAGAGAAAAGAGAGTAAGAAGAACATGGAAGACCTGCTAACTCAAATTAGAGAATTGGAAACATTACATAAAAAATCAATTTTTTTCAGATCACTTAATACAATTAATGAATAAGAGGGAAGAATTAACCAGTTGACATCCGCGGTGTTAAACCCCCTTCCCATCCAGGCCATTTTTCAGTATTCAGCGCTGCGGTACTTTGACTGACATTTATTCCGTCATGCAACGCTGTACTGAAATGAATTTTATACCCTTTTTTGGGGACAGATGGAGCTTTCTTTTGGTGGTATTTATTCACCACTGGGGGTTTTATTTTTTTACTATATTAAGGAAAAATTACCGAAATTTAAAAAAAAAAAACTGTTTCCCCTATATTAAATGATAAAACATTTATTAT